GAGACGGGGTTTCACCATGTTGACCAGGATGGTCTCGATCTCTTGACCTCGTGATCCACCCGCCTCGGCCTCCCACAGTGCTGGGATTACAGGCTTGAGCCACCGCGCCCGGCCCCAGCTGGCATTTTTAAAGAAAGGGTGTGGTTGGGAAGCCTCTGTTTCAACATGTCTTTTGCACTGTTTTAATTTAATTTTATTATTTTTGTGGGTACATAGTAGGCATATGTATATACTTATGGGGTACATGAGATGTTTTGATGCAGGCCTACAATGCATAATAATCATGACATGGAGAATGAGAATGGGGTAACCATCCCCTCAAGTATTTATCCTTTGTGTTACAAACAGTCCAATTATACTTTTTTTGTTTGTTTGTTTTGAGACAGAATTTTGCTCTTGTTGCCCAGGCTAGAGTGCAATGGTGCAATCTCAGCTCACCACAACCTATGCCTTCTGGGTTCAAGAAATGCAGTGGCCTCAGCTTCCTGAGTAGCTGGGATTTCATGTGCCTGCCACCATACCTGGCTAATTTTTTGTATTTTTAGTAGAGACTGGGTTTCTCCACGTTGGTTAGGCTGGTCTCGAACTCCCAACCTCAGGTGATCCGCCCACCTTGGCCTCCAAAAGTGCTGGGATTACAGGCATAAGCCAACATGCCTGGCTTTTTTTTTTATTTATTTTTATTTATTTATTTTTTTTGAGATGAAGTCTCACTCTGTCACCCAGGGCTGGAGTGCAGTGGTGTGATCTTGGCTCACTGCAATCTCCACCTCCCAGGTTCAAACAATTCTCCTGCCTTGGCCTCCTGAGTAGCTGTGATTACAGGTGTTCGCCACCACGCCCGGCTAATTTTTGTATTTTTAGTAGAGATGGGGTTTCACCATGTTGGTCAGGCTGGTCTCAAACTGCTGACTTCATGATCCTCCTACCTCCATCTGCCAAAGTGCTGGGATTACAGGTGTGAGCCACCACACCCAGCCCAATTGTACTCTTTTAGTTTTAGTTTAGTTTAGTTTAGTTTTTTTTTTTTTTTTGAGATGAAGCTTCACTCTTGATGTCCAGGCTGTAGTGCAATGGCGTGACCTCAGTTTACTGCAACCTCTGCCTCCCAGTTTAAATTATTTTCCTACCTCAGCCTTCCGAGTAGCTGGGATTACAGGTGCCCACCATTATGCCCAGCTGGTTTTTGCAATTTTATTAGAGAAGGGGTTTCACCATGTTAGCCAGGCTGAGAACTCCTGACCTCAGGTAATTCGCTCTCCTGGGCCTCCCAAAGTGGCGGGATTATAGGCGTGAGCCACTGTGCCTGGCTTCTTTTATTTATTTATTTATTTATTTATTTATTTATTTATTTTTGAGACAGAGTTTCGCTCTTGTTACCCAGGCTGGAGTGCAATGGCGTGATCTCGGCTCACCGCAACCTCCGCCTCCTGGGTTCAGGCAATTCTCCTGCC